TTGCGGTCAGTATGGGCCCGGCCCAGTGCGTTGACACTCTCCGGACCGGTCTTGCAATGGGGGCGGACCGGGCCATCCATGTGGATTACCCTGGAAGTTTGTATCCGCTTTCCATTGCCAAGATTCTTAAAGCTCTTGTTGAAGCTGAGAAGCCAAGTCTTCTTCTTCTTGGTAAACAGGTATATTTGCATTTTACTTCTTATTTTTCTTTCTTATTATCTGTAAAATCACTCTTATATTTACTATTTTCAGATTTAAAAGTGAAATTTATATGCGCTTTTATTGGTTTTATGTAACATGTAATATATAATTGTATCTTTGTGTATGTATTTTTTAAAGATTGGAAGTTTGTGGGTTTTATTTGAAGTGAGATTAGGTTTAGGTCTATATTTGAAGAATTTGGTGATGCTATGATAAGGTACAGATCCTGAACAGAATATTGAATGCAATTTTGGAAACTATGTTTTTTTTTTCTTGTGCCTTGGTCTGTATTTTTGCAGTTCACGAACTCAATTCTGTATCCGTTTTACATTTTCGAGGTAAATTTATTGTTTGGGAAACGTATGTGCAGGAAATTGGAATAACACGACAAAGAAAACGTGTAGTTCCCACCCAAACAGGTGAAAGTTGGCTTTGGACATATGAAATTCCTATTGATGTTTGGAGATGTCCTGTAGAACACAGATTATTGGTTGAGAATGTTTGTCATTTTAATAAAATACATGCCAAATGAGTGGATGATATTGGGATGGAGAGAATTGAAGGTAATGTACTAAGGAAAAGATGAAATAACTCACCACCCAAATTGACGCGCTCGATGGACATAGTTTTAACCACCCAAAGGGTCTAGTAATGGATATAAGAGTTAGAGAACTCACCTCAATGCAGTTCACCAAAGTTCTACAAATTTTTAAGAGAAGAATAATGGCTCTCTAAGAAAATTATGAATCTAATATTCAGAGTTCACAGAAATTGCTCCAGAACACAATCTAAGACTCCTGTTTATAGTTAATGTGCATACATGCTTACTACTACTGATATATTTAGTATGCATGCATCCTAATAATTCATATAGTATGTATACATAAATCTTTCTAACACATTAGATTCATCGTTCTTAATCGAAATTCATTGATAATTATAGTGGATTATCAATGATCCATAGGTTTTTACTTTTTTTAAATATTCATCTCCACATATCCAAATTAAGATACTAATGAGAAAATTTGACTTCTCTTTTTTCAAGACTTGTAGATGATGACCATTGTGGGTTAGTGGAAAAAGCTTATACAGCTTCCTGTTTATAATATAAAAATGAGGGTGATATTCACAATCGTGCAAATTATCGTGGCATTTATTTAATGAGCAATAGAATAAAACTTTTGGAGAGAGCGACAAATATAAAATTTAGGTTCGAAACTAAGGTTTTAGTAGAATCATCCATTATGTCCAGTGCTTATCTGCTAGAATACCCGAAAAAACAGATGACATTAGTTTGTAGTACAAAATCTGGAAAACAACTAACAGTATATGAATAATGTTGGAAATCTTAATAATCGAAATAGCGCTGTTTTTTATTTGAGACATCTCAAAATGGAAATTGTAGCAATAACAGTGTGACGGAGAGTATTAACTTATGGACACTTTTTTCGAGGCTATGCATTTAACTTTTGGCCGGTGCAAGGATGGAAACTGCTCTAGATTAACCGTTTGAGTTATTAGAGACAGGTCCATTCATATTTTACTGTCTGCTAGATTGAAAATTCACTTCTTTATATTTAGTGTATTATACAATTCTTAGACTTTTATTTTTTAACCTCTTAAAGGAAATTCGAATGGAGCTACCTTCTTGCTACAGATCTCTGCCTCAGATTACTGTTTCTGATGTTCGGATTTGTGCAGGCAATTGACGATGACTGCAACCAGACAGGCCAAATGGTTGCTGGGCTTCTCAAGTGGCCTCAAGGGACCTTTGCCTCCAAGGTTAGCATCACAGTGCATAAGCTTTTATATAAGATAATTTTCGTAGTCTTCTCAGAAAAGATAAATGTGATTGCATATTAAAAGGTTGATTTTTCTTGATTCTGATTCTATCTAACTGGTGAAGCCTATAGTATAATACTAACATGTGGTATATGTTGCTGCTTTAAATTGGTATTTGTTGAATTCTGTTAGAATTTCCAGCAAAAAGCTGTACTTATGTCTTCCTCCTTTTACCATTATACCATTTTTTTAGATAATTCATTTCTTCAGCTCATTTTGCATTCTTTTTTTATTTCTCAAATCTCCCACGTTCCCTT